CAGACATTATTAAAACAGTGTGAAAAGAGAGTGGTGTATCTGTACCTTTTATACATATTTTTATGAAGGTTATCATGTTATCACGACTACTCTACTTCCCAAATAAGTATTAAAAATTAATCAATTTCATCATTCCCTTATTGATGAATGTTTGCTGTGCTTGGAAATTTATTCGTTGTCGCAATGAATATTAGTGGATAATTAGTGGGAATTAAATCCTTATATAAAAAAGTGGCTAATTGAGATATATTTATATCTAATCAACGGAAAGTAAATCCGTATATAAGAAAATTATACTTTTCTATGAAAAAAAGCTAATTAAAATAGAAATTAATCAACGGACAGTAAATCCGCGGACAGTAAATCGTGCACTCGAGACGCTATTAATGCATCGAAAACATACAGTCTATCAAAAAAGTGTCTGTATGATAAGAAAAAAACTTTTCTATCGATGATATGGAGACTTCTTGTTTCCTCCATTGAATAGGTTCATGTTTAAGCATTTCGATCAATTATAAATTATGTTTTAAAGTTATACGTTATAAATTTAACATAAAATGTAAGTCTTACCCTATATATTCGAAATAGTACGCTTTCAGATGTTGAATTCCAGTGTGAACTTTTAAAAAAAATTTGAATTTCTAAACTTCTAGATACATAAAAGTGAATTTCAAATTAATTATTTGATAGAGAAAATAAATGGTCAAATTCAAAATAAGAGTTCTTTTCAGTTTTTGAGAAAACTTCGTATTAAACTGGTTTCAAATGATTTTTAGTCAAACTACTTTTTTTTGAATAAAGTTTTTTTTTAATAGACGACTTGTCCACATAACTCCTATGGCAGAGAGCTTCATTTTATTTTGACTATACCTCCGAAACTAAAAGTCGTAGAGAGTTCAGAGACGTTTTAAATCATAGAAAATACTGTTTTCTACATTTTGAGATCTGATCAGACTCTAGGAAACCTATCTTAAAAAATTTATGATCAAAATGCTGAGATCTACACCATTGGTTTCAATTCTTAAAAAGCAGATCTCAGCATTTTGACTACAGTTTCATGAGGATAGGTTACCTAGAGTCTGAACAGAGCTCAAAATGTAGAAAACAGTTTTTTCTTTAATTTAAAACGTCTTCGAACTCTCTACGACTGTTAGCGAAAAAAGTAACACTGTGACATCTCTGTCATAGGAGTTACGTGGACAAACCGTAGGGTAGATTTGATGAACGTTAAACCATTGCCTATTTCTGTGTAACATATGTAATAGATAAACAGTTACATATAGAAGTCACAGCCGAAAATATGACAAAAAGGTTAATGTGCAACTACTTAACGTGTCATCGTACATTCCTTTCGATACAAATTGCAACAGTTAAATATGACCCTATTCAATGATGAAAAAATTTGTAAAAGAGAACTTGATCGACTGTATTTGATTCAAAAGGACTGGATATAGTTTTGAACAATGAACAAGGGGGTGCAGTGTGCATTCAGGCGAACATAAGGCAAAAAAGCGAAAACATTGCACTTTTCCCAGATTCAAATAGCAGGAAATACACATCCGTATATGGATTATTTGATCGCATCAAAAATTTTTATTTCATGTGCTAAGAAACCTTGGGAAAACTCATAGTGAAAAACCAGTCTCAAAACACATGTTCTTCAAAATATAGCTTCAGTGAAGTAAGTTTCCAAACTTTACTTTACACAAATAATCTTCTATCTATACTGCATCTATGATTTCAGCATCAAATAGCGCCATCGTTTCAAGTCAATGCTCTGGATTTTCCAAAATTCCCTAGTTTTTCAAGTAAAATCTATTTTTCTCTCAGTTTAGGAGCATTTTTTTAAAAACAAAATAAGGCCATATTCGGAATCAGTACGGAAAACTGCATCAAATGATCTAATTTTCGACCATTTTTGAAATACTTTTCCTTATTAAAAAATTTCACATAAGAGGGACCTCATACATTTTTGATTAAAAACTAAAAGTTTTTAGACTAAGACTGTTTCTTGCGAGAATACTCTTTTAAGATATAAAGAGTCATTCTAAGCCCAAAACAAACTCTTTCCGATTAGAAAAACTTAATGTCCGCCTGTTTATTGAAAAATAGTCGCTGTTTGCCACACAGCTAACTAATTAATACGAAGCACAGTAAAAAGTAATGTTAGTTTCCAGCGCGAATGCAGTAAAGAACAATATTCGTTCTATTCTTGAAGAGGCAAAAACTATCCAATATAACAGATTTTAGAAGGATGTGCTCTATCATTTTCAGACTTCCATTAAAACGATTTAAAAAATGTGATACAATTAACACATAATATTATAAATTAAATTGAGATTGTCAAAAACTACGATGATAAATATACCTCTTCCTTTATCTCTCACACAAGGCAAGAAGTTCCCATTTACATACACTATCAAGGTGATATAAGCTGAACTTCATTGGATCGAAATAATATTTACATTAGAGTGCCCCTAGTAAAGCAATTTATCAACGTTGTGCAAAATTCAAAGTGTATTTTTAACAGCAATAGCAGTTTTTGGACTAATACTCAACCATAAAAACGTACAACGGACTAAAAGAAGAAGTTCAAATATGTTTGAATTACATTCTGTTACATACAAAGATTTATCAAAATTAATCAGTGACATGCATATTAGTTTATGAAAAAAAACAAATCAATACCTTCCTAGCGGCTCAGGAGGTGCTTCTTCAACCGGTTCTTCGTATTCAATAACTTGTTCAATTGTCTCGCCTTAATTTAGAAAATAATTATCATCTCAAGATAATATTTTTATAACAGAATTATTTGTAACAAAATATCGATCGATATTTCTCCCACTATTTTCGAGACATCGCTTTTTTTCCTGTTTGAAAGTGCAAAAGACTCAACTACTACAAAAAACGTGCAGGAAACAAATTATTCTCTTTCGAAATTTTATTGAGAGAAATTCAAAACTTAACTATCATCTAGGATGTTTGAATAACTTGTCAAAAATGTCCACTGTTTATCTTCTAGACAACGAGTTTTTTCTCGTTTAAAGATGAATTTGAAGAATAAATGATTATCAACCTATGCAAGTGATATCTTCGGTCTCCAGTGATTTATACATCGATCGATAGAGTATATCGAAGTAGTAAAAAGGCGAAAAGGATTTCGCCTGATGACTCATCCTTCAAAAGTTAGCAATTTTTCTATTTTTCCTAGCGAAAACAGGCAACACTAGAAAAATTCATATATCTGTTAAGAAAAGGCGTATAGAGCTGAAATTGTTTTCTGTTATACTACTGCATGTCTACTATATACACTGGAAGTTTCAACCTTCCATCGCGCTCTCATCCTAAGTTATAGAACTTTCCATTCCTAAATTCCTAAGGAAAATTCGATGGTGAAAAAGCCGCCTTTTCTCAATCTCATGGCATGAGATCTCTTTTTATTTGTGTGTATCTCCTATTAAGAGATACTATCGAATTTTCCTTAAGAATGGAAAGTTCTATAACTTAGGATGAGAGCGCGATGGAAGATTGAAACTTCCAGTGTATATAGTAGACATGTAGTAGTATAACAGAAAACAATTTCAGCTCTATACGCCTTTTCTTAACAGATACAGGGTGATCAAAAAAAAACTTACCCCCTGTATATTTATTGACTTTCTTGTGTACAAATATAATTGAACTGTTTATCATTAGTTTATTCATATAGAGCAAAGATTTTTGGACAAAATGAGACGTCTCCGAGCTCTCTAAGAACTTTTGTCATGAAACAGCATTGAATTTACGGAAGGTCCCAAGAGCATATTTTTCTTGTTTGCCCATTAATTGTCCCGATTTTGGTGGTATGGGACCTTCCGTAAATTGAATAGAAAAATTGCTAACTTTTGAAGGATGAATCATCAGGCGAAATCCTTTTCACCATTTTACTACCTCGACATATTCTATCGATTAACGTATAAATCACTGGAAACAGAAGGGATCATTTTCGTAGATTTTCCTCGTGAGGGTGCTTGGAATACTCATTTGAATGGCTTTACAATATATTTATTTTTCGTGTGGAAATGATCGTATATCTGATCACAGTTAGAAATACAATTAGTCAGCGTTAGTTACAAATTCTGAATTTGACAGATGAATTTTTTCAAATCGTTGAACTAAATCTTGGCCTACATTCAATTTTCTATGAACTGCTCCTGCTTTGGCGATGCCTTTGTTGAAAGTTTAAGCCTCTCCCCCTTCAGAAATTATCTTCAACACCGTACATCCGATCTAGACGAAACTTTCCATAAATGTGTTAGATTTAATAAGTTACGGGAATGAACAAATGTTTGTCTCCAGATCTTACGGTTTAGGAGTTTTTCAGAGATCAAGGTCCGAAAAGGACCCTGAAGTGTGTCCCAACATTTTTTAATATACTTCAAGCTGGAGAATTCGGATTTGTTTTATTTTAAACTACATGGACTGACAGGCGCCGATTTTTCAATTAAGCCTTTATTGGTTTTCCAGGCAACCAACAACCTTCAAAACCCGAAAAAGCCTTCCGAGTTTTCCAAAAATCCGCAGTTTGACAAAAAACTAAGATCTAATTCAAAAATCGATGCCGGTCAGTCCATCTAGTTTCTTGTCCTCTTTTAAACAAAAAAAGAATAAACTCTCTATGACAAACTGCTATTAAAAATCTGGCGACACACTTCAGATGTAACGCTTATATAGAGAAAACGCTATGTTAAACGCTGTATAAAATACTCAATTTTAGGACTTCTAGGCAAATGTCTGTAACTTTTTGGTGCATGGTCATACAGAGTTGTGCGAGATCTTATTTTGATCAGAAGCGTTTGCTCTACAAATGTGTGTTCCGAAAAATTTTAATTGCATAAATATTCAGGAAAAAACTATTATTTGAAGACCCGATTTTCCAAGGCTTCTAGAAAACTTGCTCAAAATCCCCGAAAACTCAATTCTGTAACCAAAAAGTGATACAGATTCTGGAAGTCGACACTTCAGGCTACCTTTCCATGTGCTTATCTCGAAACCGATTTTTTGACACAACATCACAATTTCTGAGGGGGCGAGCCCTTAACAACAATAAGAAGTAATTGATTATTTTGATACCGGTAAAAGGATTTTTCTGTTATGTATGAGTGAAATTTTATCGGAATATCCTCGGTGATGTTTAGTTCTCAAACTTTCTCTCAATAAAATTTCGAAAGAGAATCATTTGGTTTCTGCACGTTTTTTGTAGTTGAGTCTTTTGCACTTTCAAATAGGAGAAAAAAGCGACTACTCGAGAATAGCGCAAGAAATAACGATCAACATTTTGTTGCAAAATTTATTCGTAATCTGTTAGAGATACCTTTTTTAACTCTGTCTCTTTGTCTTTGATTTAATATGCATATGTTACAAATTAATAGAGAATTTTCACATAAACCACTTTTTGTTTCAATACAGTATTCTAAAATGAATACAAACATTTCAATTAATCATTAATTGAAGTTCTTCATATTTCACTTACCAACAGGATTTCTTAATGAACAATAAAAATCGATCATATTTACATCATTTTTCAAATAAGCCAATAGAAGACGTCGCTGTTGTTCAGCTTTTGTCAACTTAGAAATATAAAATAAACTATATCAATGTACATATATCAATTTTTAAAGTACCTCTGGATCAATCCAAGCTTCTCCACATGTTACGTATACATAAGAATCTCTTTCAACTGATGTCAAATCAAAGAATTCATAGCCGTTCTTATCGAAGAGACGTCGACCAGCAAATGGTAAATTCAGTAAATCTGTACAATTTTCTAAAAACTATAAAAATAAAACATAATTGTAGTACAAGTAGAACTAAATAGGTCGATTTGATATTTTACCAATTTAATTTCTCTTTGTCTTGCATCAGCCATTCGTTTAAGTTGTCTATTTGCTTGTTGTTCTTTTTCTGGTTGTGGTATTCGTAATCGACGATACATACTTGGTGATGATTTATACTCTGTTAACATCTAGGAACAAGGAAGAAACGATGTGCTCAAGTTATAATTGTTTTATTTGAGTACTTACATTTGACATGTCTGGACCAACTACTGGAACTGCTTTATCTAAATTTCGTTCCCCATTTTTCAATACTTGAAGGCGAATGGGCACGACTATACAAAAAAGACGTTTTTAAGAAATAGAAATAGTTTTGTGAAGTGAACTAACATGCAGGTGTTCCATGAGCTAATTTGATTGATTTAACTGGTGGTACACCTGGAATGAAATAACCCTCAATGGGCCACTGAAGTTCCTAGAAAAGAAAGTTTTCTTTAGTAAGAGAACAATATCATTTAATATTTATTTTTAAAATATTACGTCTACTTTTTTGACTAAAATTTATATTACGTGAACTTACTGGTATTAATGTTCCGGTTGCATCGACAGGCCAAGTTAAAGCCAATTTATGCCATGCAGGATTTTCAACTTTAGAATATTTCCAATCACCAATTGTAAAACCAGATTGTTGACGAATACCCCATCTATAACAACAAGTAATATTAAACACAATCTGTATGATATGTAATTCATTCCCAACTAAGAAATTCTATCTAAACAATATTTTGATGCAAAACTGAAGGTGACGCAGATATCAACACACTGACTATGGTTCTAGACAATATTTGAAGATTAGTATAACTTTAGCTTGAAAGAAGAAAATTTTATGAACCTTTGTGCATGAATAAATGGGGATGTTTTGTCACATTTTAAACATATACCAATATAATACATTAGTGGTTCATTATCTTCCGTTCTTACACCATTTGCCTGCGCTGATTGATTGTCTGTGGGTACGATTGTTGAAAGATTTGTTAGAGCATAATTGGGATCGGCTTGAGATACAATGTAGCCATCACCAGTAAATGTCCACAATTGTTTCAATTGTTTATCAGTTGTTTTGGGTCTTAAACAAACTCCATATCCATTCAAGTCTTTTTGCTCTTTGTTTAATCGAGATGACTTCTGACGCAAACAAATTGGTTGATCGGTGACAGTCAAAACTAATTGGGATAAAACTTTATTGCAAATATAGCCATCCTAGAATGACAAAAATAACATTATACTAAGATCACGATATACAAATAGAAGATCCGAGACAACAAAAATTGTTAGAAACGGCAAAAAAAAGCGTTACAAAAGTCCAATTTTCACGCGTTTTCTATGGGATACAACGCGTGTAAATGCGTTTTTCAAAAACAACTTTCATAACGTTTGTTTCATTTTCCGTTCTCACGCGTTTTTCAAAAATGTGTTGAAAGGGTCTTTTGAACACCTTAGAAACGCGTTACTTTTGCGTTAAAAACGTATAAAAAACGTGTTTTCAAACGTTCCAGAAACGCGTTTCATAACGTTTGTTTCATTTTCTACTCTCACGTGTTTTTATTCCGTTTGTAACGGTTGAAAAACGCAACTAATCATTCACCGTCTTGTTTTGCGATCAGCCGAGTATATAAGCACAATCGAAATATTGAAGAAATACCATCGTCTTTTCGTTCTTTGGCAGTTTTAGTTTATCAATTTTGTACTTCCTTTACTATAGATTTTCACTATTTTTAGATCAGGTCCCACTGGGTAGCCAAGTCTTACATTTGGCTTAATGGAAATTCTGGAATGATTCAGAGTTGCAGACTCGATCCCGAAACGCGTTTTTATTCCGTTTTTAACGATTCAAAAACGCGCTGAATGTATCATCCGAAACGCGTTCTAGCACGTTTGAAAACGCGTTTTTTGTACATTTTTAACGCAAAAGTAACGCGTTTCTAAGGTGTTCAAAAGACTGTTTTAACGCGTTTTTGATCGTTAAAAACGCGTTCTAGACCAATTTTTTTGTGCCTGAGATGTCTTATTACAAATATTTAGTCTTCTAATGATATATACTAACCTTACTATAACGCCATAATTGTAATTCTATTTGTGAAAATATTTCCCGTTTTGCAGGCTTATTCTCTATTCCTTTTTCCATTTTTTTTTCTCTTTTTTTCTTCTTTTCATCAATTTTCAAATCGGGATAGATAAGTTTTGTCGATGATTTATTGGCATTAACATTTGGAAGCGTTTGACCAAGTAACGTGACATGTTCACTAACACGTTCATTCAGTGGTGTTCGATCATAATTTTGTTTCTTTTCATTGTCAAGGTTATTATAAGATGTTGGTATTATGTCAGTTGGAATTCGTTCTAAGGGTTTCCATGATAATATGATTTTTCTGAACAATAAATATACAGATTAAGCCATTTTCATGATAAAAAAACTCTTAAAACAGATTAGAGAAGAAAGCGTTATGTATAATACCTAATATTATTATTATCATTTGGGTCCACTTGAAAGTCTTCTGCTCGAGCACATTTCACTATCGCTAACAGACCATCTTTTTCAAATACTTCTACACTGTGCAGTGTTATACTCAAACAAGGCTCTAAATTTAAGCAAGCAAATAATCATACAAAAATAGTGAAAGACATACAACAAAATGCTTCCTTCCATACAGTTCTGTTCTATTTTACAAGATCGTCAAATCTTGAAAATCTCACTTCGTGCATTTTACCGTTCTATAGAAGAGAAATGTAAGGACACAATCGTCCGAAGAAAAACGTATATGAAATATGATAGCATAGATATCTGAAATCTCGCACATTGTCTAGTGACTTTAAGTACATTTTTCGTTCTAGGAATCGTCAAAACGTCGCTGATATCAATAATAGTACAACTCGACTTGCTATTTTATGTAAGCCGTATACAATCGGCGCAATATCAACCATTTGTACTAGCATGAAGGCCGAACGTCATTTGTATGTTTTTCTTAAAATGGATATTTTTTGAGGAAGAAAAATGCACTTAAACTTAATAGAGGAGATGAAATTTTCACAACTAGATGATTTAGAATAGAATGAAACTGTATGGAAGCATCCAACGAAGTTTGTTACCAAATGCTGGTCTATAGTCTTCTCCATAAGAAATAAATAGATGTTGATCGTTTCTTAGTTGTCCGACTCTTTTAAGTTCCGTTCCATTTATATCGAATACACGCTTTGGCCGTTGACGACTATAGAGATCAATTGCATGATGCAAATAATCTAATAACTAAATACATACAGAATAATTAAAATCAGCCATCAAGTAACTGATGTCTAACTAGAGATCTGCATCAGATGGGCTTGTCAGGTATAAAAAATGAAGAAAAGTAAATTCATAGAGGAAAACTGATATGTTTGTTTATGTGTGTTTGTTGTTTACATGTTTCAAGTATTCGACGTGTTAAATTACTATAAAATTCAAAATTATTAAACGGAAACTATGTAATGTTTCTCTAGACTAATTTCGTAAAATAATGTTCGCTTCTTGGACAAGACACGGACGTGGATAAAATCTTTCTTTTGTTTAGAAACACAGCGAAAAACGTTGTCGATGCAGATCTCTATGTATAACTCACATATTCTATATCTGTTCGTCCCACATTTTTTGATGATAAACTTTTCATGTTTAAATGTACTATTGGATCTTCTTGGTTGTAATGTCCATTTTCATGAACCTAAACGAAAAGATATACATCTTGTTGTGTCTAGCTTGATAAGATCGATTTGAGTACTAACGTGCAAACCAATCGGCTGTCGTCCAACAATTTTGTCGTTAAATTTGATTTCTTTTATGTGTTCAACAGCAAAACCGGCACCCATATCCTAAAAATGAGAAACATAAGAACAGTAAGTTTAAGGAAGCCCCCTACTTAGAGTTTTCCTCAAACTTTCTTAGTTTGTACAGGATACTGCGAAGCGTATGTGTTGAAATCTTCTCAGCTTACTGACATTATATGACTACGGGAAAAAAAATATTTACTTAAAAAAATGTTGTTTAATTTTTGGCTGCTCAGTAAGTCTGCTTCTGTTAGCCCAAGGAAAAAATTTCCTTTGTTTTGATTTTAAAATTTCAAAAACAGTAACATTTGTAATTCTCTATATATTCTATGCTTCTCTGTGAAGCCAGTTTTCCCTAAAATTTGAGCGAACAATTGTATAGTAGCGATACATTACAACGACAGGATCCATCAGACACAATTGTGTAATAAAACTACCAATTCCTCATTACACAATTGTATCTGATAATTTCCTGTCGTTGTAATGTATCGCTACTATACCGTTGTTCGCTCAAATTTTAGGGAAAACTGGCTTCACAGAGAAGCATAGAATATATGGAGAGTTGCTTTTAATTTAGAAATGAGAAAACGAAAAATTTTGAAAATAGCTTGTGTGAGAGATTCTGGAAGTCGATTCTGAACAACTTTTGTACTCCAAAATGCTTGTGTCGAGCAAAACTAGCTGTAGGTCGATTTTCAAAACACTTTTAGCTCTAAAACTCTATCGAGAAGGTAGAAGTTAAATTTCTACGTCAAACTTCAGTCAAGAACGATGACAACAACCCTTTATCCTTACACAATTCAATGTCCACCATCGAACTACACTAGGAGTCATTGCATGAGAGAAACAACAAGTCATGCTCAATCGATGTCTCATATTTGCTTCTAACTGATCCTATCTTGTTCAGCATGTGTGGATACCTATAAATCCAAATTTTGAACCTTCGAGGAGGTTTACTTTCTGAGTTTTGGACGGTTTTCTACAGTCCCGTCGACGTAAAGTTCAGCGTCCAAAAAATGGAGAGCAAAAGTAAAAATACTGTTTCTCCGCCAAAACAAGTGACAGAAGAGGAATTTTCTCACCCTATGTAGTCCATTGCACAGTCTATCCGATAATGCGATCAAATCGTTTTGACCTTGGGTCTTCAGCCCGACATCGAAGGTTTTCTGAGGATCTTGAGCGTTTGTATTGTTTGACGCCGTTCTCGAGCCTCTGGCTTAAGTATAAGACGAGGTGCACTTTTTCATAGGCATTCAAGTGTGGACTATTTGAATCCGGTCTCAAAATTTTGGGGTTTTGTAAGGGTCTCTGGAAAACCTTTGGGCTTTTCTAGAAACCCTTAAGTTCACCAAAATACTTTTTAAACTACATAATTGGAAAGAGTACAAAATTCTGAACAAAATGTGGTATTGCTCATAATTTTAGCAATAATTTTAAAACAGTGACAAAATAACCGATATTCAGGCAAAAATAGTTTACTATAAAAACCTAATGTTTACCTTGTCGAATTTACGGCTTAGAAAAACTGAAAAACAATGAGTGATACATTATTTTGTTCAGAATTTTGTACTCTTTCCAATTATGTAGTTTAAAAAGTATTTTGGTGAACTTA